CGGCGGCGGCGGGGAAGCGTGCGCGTGCGCGCCTCTCCGCGGGCCGTCTGCGCCTGCGCGCTGCCTCCACGCGCGTCTCGTCCGTGCGTGCCGACGTCTACGTGCCTCCTGCGTGCGCGCGCTGGGGCGGGCGTCCGCGCAGACGAAGAGGCGGCCCCGCCCCTCCGGGCCCGCCCCCCGCCTCCCGCCTGGATTCGGACAAAAGAACCGGGCGTGGCCCCCCTCGCCCCGCCCCCGGATCCGCCCCCAGGCTCAGGCCCCGCCCCTCATAGCCCCGCCCCCAGCCCCCGCCTGCCCAGGGCGAGTACGAAACAACTGGGCGTGGCCCCGCCCCAACACCCACGTGGGGGCTCTTAGGGGCTTGAGGGTCCATCTGTGAGCAAGGCGCACGTGTTAGGCCCTGACTGTATACAGACTCCTTCCTTCCCTGCATCCCTCTTTCCCGATGCCTGTCCAAGCACCAGCGATGATGTCTGGGTCTCCTTGGGCTAAATGCCCCTTCCCAGGCGTCTGTGGGGAGGTAGTCCCCGGGGGCCCCCCAACACTCACAGCCCCTACCTGTTCTTGTTCCCCCCTTGACCCCTGTCCTAGCCTTCCCCTCCCAGGGGCCTCACTTTCCTCCACAGAGACACCTGCCCTGACCTGGACACTTCACCCCCGGGTTCCGGGGGTCCCCCCAAGACCGGCTAGTCCAGTGAGCAGACCCAGAGGCTGAGAGCCCCCACCTAGGCAGAGCGCCACCGCCCCAACTCTCCCCCTGCCCAAGCTGCCTGGCCCAGCATGCTCTCCCCTGGCCTGTTCTCGGGGTGGCCCTGCTCCCTTTCCCCCATCCCCAGACTCTCAGAAGCCTTACTTTGTAGATGCCGGATAGGACACAAACTCACTGGGCCCTCACCGCTGCTCAGCAATCCTGCTACACCTGCCTCATCGACCCCCTCTCCCCAGAAGGTCTCCCACACTTTTTCATCCCTCCTCCAACCTCCCAAGGCTCCCTCCCCTGCCATGCTGGCTCACACCCCAGCCTCATCTTTTCAGAACAAATGGAGGCCGTTCACATGGAGACCCCTCTTCTCTTTTCCCTCCTGTCCCATCACTCAGGTGCCTTCTGCCCGCTGTCATCCTTCACCTCGTCTCCCAGGACAAGGCGACCTCAACCCTGTGCCTCCTCAGGTCATCCCCCTGCGCGCCCCACCTTCTGGTTGAAATTATCATCAATGTCGACGGCCTTCCCGGTGTCCGTCTTTCATTTCCAATCACTTGTTCGGTGGTTCTGGGGGAGACATTTCAGTAGCCCACCAGATTTCCTTTCTCTAGAGTTTTTTACTCTTTCTCTGCTGAGACTCTGATAAGCTGACTGCACAGACAGCAGTTGCCTCAGGAAAACTCCCATGGCAGGGCCAGGCTTTCCTTGTCCGTTCAAATAGGACCTCTTCTCACATCTTACAATGAGAGCAGCAATGGATGGGGAGGTGCGTGCTGGGCATGAGCTAGCCAGGAGCGCCAAGGAAGAACAATGGGAGTTAAAAGCAATGGCTGCAGGAGGAGGAACCTGGCTGCTTCCACAAGGGCAGGAGCAAGGGAGGACAGTTCCCCTGGTTGCTCCCAAGGTCAGGAGTGGGTGGAGAAGGCAGCCAGCCCATCGGGTGACCCCTTGGCTTCAGCCCGTCTCATTGGAGGGAGTCTTCACATGAAGGACGTCTCTGTTCCACTCGCATAGTGCAGTATTTTGTCTCTACAATGAGGTGCACGTCATCTTTCCAGATAGAACACAAGCCCCAGGAGCACAGGCACCATGACCCTGCTGCCTGTACAACCTCAGCGCCCAGTGTGGCCCGTGACACAGTCATAGCAGACGCAGGGCCTCTTGGTTGGCTGTACGTTACTTTCCCTGTGCCAATGCCTTGTCCTTTGACCTCTCACCAAGCCCACTGGCCAGTCCCCAGCCCTGCCCAACCTGGGCTTTCTCCGCTCTGACGCTCATGTTGCTGAAGGCGGGCCGTCTGGGTCCCCCACTGGGGGGTTGTTATCTCACGTATTTGGGGCATTCAGAATGGAATAGGCTCCTGCCTGTGCCAGCTGGGGATCTCCCCTTCTACTTTAGGGACATGCCATGTGCCAAAACCTCGCCACTCATCACCACCCGTTGGCATCCCCTCCTCACGGCTCCAGCCTCCCTGACAGGCCCACTGCTGCCTCCTCAAGGCCATGCCTTCTCTCTCTTCCTCGTCTCCCACCTCTCTCTGTCCATTAGTTCTTTCCCTGCTACCTCCAAAGAGGCCCACGTGTCCTAACTTAAAGCATCCTCATTGGGCCACCGCTCCCATCCTTAGCTCTCTCT